GATTTAGAGAACCGCATCTTTCTCTTGAACTTTCTTTCTTTGTCTTTCACTGCTGCTGTTTGGGAGTCTGGCATCACTGACAGTTCATAAAAACCGCTGTAGCTCACTTCCCACAATCCCATTTAATCCTGTGCTTTCTGCTCTGCGATAAAACAACCTTTGTGTCGTTGAGTGAGGCATAAAGGAGCTTCAGGACGAGACGCCGCGAGACACGAGCACATGAGACGCCTCACAGCAGTCAGATGATGAGAAACTTTCTACCGATTACTGTGGGAATCTGTAATGTTAATTTACGACATGAGAAAGAATAAAACCATTTTACACAATCCTGACACTTATTTACAACTTCCAATCACATGAATCAAAATGAACTCTATTTACTTTCTTAATTCATTTGCCTGGTCTTATTGTGAATGATGCGTCAATGCAAGTTAAGTCTAGCTAACTAAATAAATAAACAAACATATATCACAACCTGCTTTACTTCTAATGTATTTTAGATATAATCAATTGTTTAGAAATGTTATGTTCTATGCATGTATATGTGCACCCTATATGCACACAAACATACATATATATATATATATACACATGCATGTATGAAAGACTATGAAATTATATATTATATGTGTGTGTATCACTGTTCTTTTGATTTTCATTTATTGGGTTTCAATTTAATTTGAGAAAGTTTTATTGTTTTATATATATATATATATATATATATATACAGTGGGTACGGAAAGTATTCAGACCCCCTTAAATTTTTCACTCTTTGTTATATTGCAGCCATTTGCTTAAATCATTTAAGTTAATTTTTTTTTCCTCATTAATGTACACACAGCACCCCATATTGACAGAAAAACACAGAATTGTTGACATTTTTGCAGATTTATTAAAAAAAGAAAAACTGAAATATATGTCTACCAAATTGGCATCGGACGATGTCTACAGTGAAGCATCGTGATGGACGATGACATCGGGGGGCGGGGCGGGGGGGCGTGAAACAACGCGTTATACGGAGCCACTAAAAGGTTAGCCGCTTGCTAGCAGTAGCCTGTTGCAATACAATACATGAAAGTTCACTTACCACATACACAGAGTAAGGAGAAAAGTCTGATAGGACGATGGCGAATGATTGCAGATCCTGAGCACCAATGACAAACATCTAATCTTGTCAAATGTGTGGTAAGTACTGCCGCTCCATAGTATAGAGTCCTTGTGATCGCGAGTCTCGAAAGTGAAAGTGAAAGTAAAATGAGAGCGCGCAATCGAAAGCGGTTT